CTATGGAGGCCATAGACCACGCTGTGCATGCTGCTTGCTGCTGCCATCACTGATTGGGGCACTTTGTAGCTGTCACCATAGGTGCTGTCAAGGCATCGTTATGCCATTTGCTCACATTGTTAATGAGTGCTCTCGTCCATGGATGCGCTTAGCAGCGTGGCACAGTGCCTGCTGACAGGAGCTGAGGACATGCCACAGCTGGAACAGGGCTTCTTCATCAGAGAGGAAGCCCTGCTGGGACATATGGAGGATGGGGAATTTTCCAGGTGAATCGGAGGGCAAAATTCCCATTTTTCACTCCTCGACTCCTTTTCTGGTGAACTCCTTGTTATTCCCCTCTGAGATCTTGGTAGTCTTTTGATGGTCTTAGGAGATGTTGGGCTGATTTCAGGGCCAGAGCCAAAGGGTGCTGAGACTGCAGAAGCATTTTGTCTGGAGCTTTTACTCACATTTTCCCATCACACCTCAGCTCTGTAGTATGACATGCTGGGATTCAGGGGCCTCATTGCAGAAGGGAGCAGGGCACAGATCCTGCCTGCCTTCCTTCTCCCCAGCCCTATGCAATTCTCTGTAGGTTTTCTGTTTCATATTTTAATAATGCAAAGCCAGCAGAAGAGTGAAACCCAAGTTGGTGTAGGGTAGGTGTGGCTGCTTTCCTGGCTCTGTGCATGGGTGTCTGCTTGGAATGGGAACCTGCTCAGGGCAGGTGCACTGCACTGATGGGGTGCTCCCTGCAAAATCCCCCAAGAATGCGTCTGTGGATCCTTCCAGTCTCCCTTTTCCTTTAGTAAAACCTCACTTTAAGCCACAGCAAGCTGTAATAAAGCTGTGCTGGCCATGGCACCCTCTGGTCTCACAGTCTGATCTACAACACAGCCACCGAGCTGACTTTCTGCAGCAGGGGGAGCAGCTGCACATCGGTGGGAGCATCGCGACACAGGACTGTCCTGAGACAACTCTGGGTGCGGGTGTTCATATGTTGCAGCGGCCACAGGACTTGGCACTCCTGGGTGATCAGTGCTGGGAGCTGAGCACACCCGGGAGCGCTGGAGTTTTGCTCACCGTTTCCTCACCCTCTGTGAGTTTTGGCAGCCGGGAGATACTGCAGTGCACACTTAAAGCACACGATGGCACTGCAGGAGCGCATAACTGCCTCGGCCCTCCTCTGCAGCTCAACTGGTTTTCTTAGCCCTCCGAGGAGGCAAAACTCCGGCAGGTGCAGAGACTTTCCAGGGACGAGGAGCTCTGGGGGACTTGACAGCCCAGCGCTGTCCCCTGCTAGGGCAAAACTTGGAGTCCAGGCTGCTGCCTGCCTCTACATCATCACTCCATCACCATGGGGCAGGAGGAGCCACAAGAGTACACAATGCTGCAATGGGTGTGACTGACATCTTCCAAAATGCAGTGATGATGACCCAAACAAACCTTCCCCAGAGAGACCAGCTGTGCTTAGTTAGGTGACCAGACAGGTGCAGAGCTAATCTGGGCTATAGCATTGAAAAGCTAATATGCACCAACTGTACTCACTGGGGTGCACTGAGGGTTTCTATCCTTGCCTTGAGTCCCTATAGCTGCCTTGACTGTTTGAGCTCGTGCAGGTGGAGAGGTGGTCTTCAGATATGCAATGGCCAGAAGCAAGCCCCGGTGCAAGTCTTGCATGATAACGTCCTGCTGGCTGGCTCCTGAGGCTTGGAAGAGAATGAGCACGTGTTAGTTCATTGGTTCCTGAAGCTACCAATCCTCCAGCCAAAAAACAGGGAGAGGTGTAGAGAGGAACAGAAAGGCTGTAATGGAGTTGCCACAGAGCATGTGCTCTTTCCTGAAATAGTCCTTTAAAAAATACTTGCATGTGACAGTTCTGATATTTAGCTGTTCTTTGCAGACAAGACCTTCCTGCTGAACTGAAGAAGTATGCATGCAGCAAGTTCTGCCCAGATCACATAAATACCTGAAACACTGTAGTCACCTTTAGGTTTCTTGAATTATCAGGTGGATGGCTTTGCTTTTCCTCCTCCTGTTATCCCTCTGTGAAAAGAAGTTATCCTCAGGACTTTTCCATAAGGGAGAAGATGTGTACCCAGAATGAAAAGCACAAAGTCAGCATCAGAAGAGAAGAAAGCTCTTCCATGAGAGGAGAGGGATGGAGAGGTTTGGTTTCTACAGCTCTCTGGATGGAACACCCTTTGCTTGCTATCTCCCTGCTTTAAATGCAGCTGATTGATTTACCTTCTCCTTTTCTGCCTGTTTATTTTAATAGATTTTTTTTTTTTAACTTAAAGCAAAATGTTCCACTCTCTCCACCCACCCCCCTGGAACTAAATGTTGATGGGTTTTTTTCAGTGGTTATAATTTGATTTCTGCCTCTGCTGCTGGGCTGATGTGAGAGAAACAATATTTAGAGAAGTAGATTTAAATACAAAAAAAAATGGAGCAGGGGAGGTAGAGGCTGGGAGTGGTGTGGGAAGAAGGAAAGAGAATCAACGAGAATGAACTCTCGTTTTCTAGGCCGTTTTCTCAAGTTTGCAATCTCTGATGGGCAAAAATCCCAGTATAGCTCAACTAATCAATTGCTCTCTGAAGAATAGAAAATGCCTTGTCTCTTTAGGTATTTTTGCGTTATTCTTGGCCTGCTGCAGTGACTCATTGTAGCTGCTCTGTGCCAACGATTTCAGGTTTGTAGCCTCTTTTAGAGGTAGGGAATTGTGATCATCTCCACTTTGCAAACGGAGAAACTGAGGCAGGCGGTGTAAATTGGTTCCTTCCCCTTCAGATCGTGGGACAGTGGTTCAATCAGCACACATAATCCGGGCGGCATTTTCAGCAGCGCTCAGCTCTTTCCTTAGACAAAAGGAGGTTTTCAGGCTTAGCAGCGTTAACACTGAGCAGCAAGTTTTCAAAAGAATCCAGCAGCTCCTCCACTCTTGGAGCACCTTAAGGACAAGCTCCTGCTTTTGCTAACGGGAACGGCTGTTTTTCCTTTACCAAAAACCTGACCTTTCATTCCTAGGCACGGAATTAAAGATTTCATCATATTTTTTTAATAGTTTTTTATTAGCATCTCTCCTTTTCTTTTTTTCCTCCTTGTTTCTCCTGGTTTCTGGGGACGTGGTTAGTGATTGTTTCTGTGCGTATCTGAAGTGAATAGCTTTTCTAAATATTTTTTTTCTTCCTCTAAAATACATAATCGAGATCGTCTGCTGCAGTTTATATTTCCTGCTGTGGAGACAAACACCTTAATTAGAATGGAAGGGAGGAAAAAGAACATCATACAGAAAAATAAAGCAGCTCTGTGAAAAGAAACCTGAAAAGCTTGAGAGAAGTAGAAATGGGCAAATGAAGCCCCTTGGCAGGCAGGAGGCATCTTGCACAAACAAGTGCATGTACTCACACCAGCTGTGGGGATTGCTTTGTTCAATGCAAGGAAGGAGGCAGAGGTGGAAGCCTGGCTGCACTGACTAGTGCTGAGTTTCTGTCAGGCAATGAGAGCTGTCCTCAAACTGCTCGACCTCCTACAGCTCCTGCTCTGTCTGCAGGGCAGATGTGTGGCTTGGTTTCAGTAATTCTGTTGGGAGAATGAAGGGGAAAGGGGATCTTCTTTCACTGTCATACCTGCCTTGGCCGTGCCTCTTTCCTTCACTTAAAAGGGAAGGGTTACATTAATCCCTGGTGGTTTCTGCAATTCATTATGGGATTTCTTGTACATGCTGGCCCTCCTTTACAAGCCTTGGGGAAATTACAGCAGAAGAAAGCAGCAAGAAATGCCTACATGTACCAGGCTGGTATTAACTCTAGGGATGTACGAGAGGGATACACATACAAAGTTGTTTCTTAGTCCTTAAGATTGTGTGAATAGGAGAAAAGTCTACCATCTGTATAACTCAGAGCACAATGTGAGCCTGTAGGGAAGTGGGGTAAGAGACCTCTTGCTTTCCTTAGACTTTGTAAGCAGCAGCCTGTGAAGGGCATGCATTCAACCCACTCCCTTATCTGTAGCAGGTCTGCAGCCAGAGCAGATGAGCTGGCTCTCTCTACGTCCCTGTCTTAATATCTTTATGGGAAACCCTCCCAGTTCCCTTCCCTGAAAGTACATCCACCCAGAAAAACACCTTGCTGTCTCAGCACAGCGTGCTGCTGGGGCTTCCCATTTAAGGCCAGCCCTGATGCTCTGCAGATGCTGCCCACGTCAAGGAGGACCACAGAACATCCTTGATGTGTTGTAGGGGAGCAGCAGCTGCCAACCCTGGAATTTGGAGGGCAGCCTTGCACCAGCTAGCTGGCAACCTGCAGAAGGGTCTGCTTGGATGGATTAATCAGCCTTACAAAGGTCTCCTTCCAAGCCATAGAATGGGGGAAAGAGGATGGGCTGAGAACATCCCCAAGTACTTCTCTGCTGCCCAGCTGAGATTTGTATCCATCTCGTTGAGGATAATTTGATGGTCACCAGATGAGGAAGCTCAGCACTCACTTTCTGCACCATCCCTCCAAGACAGAAGTGTATTATTCTTGTTTTTCATCAGCCTGAGTCGGTAATTGTCTATGTGAACTGTGCTGCTGTCCCTATACAATTAAGGCTGTCATTCAGACTCGTACATCTAAACACTGCAAACTCCACAGCTTAGGAGGATCGATCACAGGACTTTAATGGCAGTCAAAGCGGCACTTTGTGGACTCTCTTTTTTTGTCAGTGGAACAAACTGTGGTGCTTGAGGCTGAAACATCCTTGGGATGGTGGTGAGGTGCTTCCAGTCCTCACTGGACACACAGCTGTGATGCCAGGCCCTGTGCAGGCGGTGGGAGCTGCACTGATCCTGATCAATGTGATGTGGGTCTTGTGGGTCACCGGACAGAGCATGGGGGTACCTATGCTATGTGAACAGAGGCATAGCATTGGGAAATCTAGGCTTGTGAGACAAGCACACAGCCTGCCTACCTGTGCAAAAGTACTGCTAAATGAAAGCTCATTAGTCTTGTTTGACTGATGTCATCTGCTGTTTTGCAGGATGTTCATGAAGGCAAGCATGAATGCCATAGCTGTAGTCAGAAGACTCTTCCTTGTCCTCTTCCAGTGCAAAAAGCTGCTGTTCTTGCTCTGTGTGGGTAAGAAAACCTCAACACGTGCTAAGCCCTGCTGTTTTCCACCAGCACTCATTGCTGTGTCTCTCAACCCCATGGCCTTGCTGGGTTGGGGCTGTATGGAGTGAGATGCTCCTCATGCATATCCTCGCTGGAGAGACTCCAATCGTGGGTGTGACATAAGGGAGGGAGGGAAAGGACATCATTCCATAAATCCCCCCCACACAGCCGTGGGTATCACCACAGGCTGAGATGAAGATCTGTGAACTTAAATTCCAAGGCATAGGGATCAGCAACAGGGACATGGGCACAGTCATAGTGTCTCCCTTTCACTTCATGTACATCTGTCAGCTGTGCTCCCAAATGCTGCGCCCCGTCCTGCAAATTGGACCCACCATGTGCAGCTCTGTGTGCAGCAGCTCTGCTCTCTTGTGCGTGGGCCTTGCACTCACATTTGTCACTTGTCTCCAAGAGAGGCATGAGCTTTGGGAGAATTTTGGAAAACTGAGTCATTCTGGATGTCTCAGGGGAGGGGAGAGAGCAGAAAAGCATCTGAAAGGTGAACTTTTTTCCCCAAGTATGAAAGTTCCTCTGTTGTTTTGCACTAGTACAACCAGGTGTTGACTCAGTGAATTCTCCCCTACATTAATATTTATAAATATTTAAAACTCCAGTACAAGGCCTGCCTCCTGTATGCTATGTGTGCACAGGGCTGTGGAGGCTGGGGCAAGGTTAATGTGCTTCTGTGATACTCAGACTGAATTCCTGGGGTGAGGGGAAGGTCTGGCAGTCACCTTTTGATAAATGCTGCTGTGATCTTAGCAAGATCATGGTCCAGTAGTGGGTGTTTACCTGCGTTGTGTGTATGCGTGTAGCAGTGCAGAAATAACTGGCTGATGAAAGTCTCTGTGTGGTGAGTGTAGGGAGTCTGGGAGAGACCATGTTGCAGTGTCTATATTGAGTGTATGTCACTGCTTGTGTTCTCCTTCCAGAAGAAGGAAAACTAATTCTAATTTCATGCCATCGTTGGGAGGCCAGTTGTTTGTCACTGAAAAAAAAAATCACTGCTGCTTAATGACCAAGATGAGACCATTGTCATTTTCATAAAAAGGAAAGAGCTATCACAGTGCACAGTGATATAATGACAGTTTTGTGGTACAATATGGGAAGTGCTGAGGAAAGTAAAATTAAATGTCTTTTATCTACGATCAGAGTGGATTCTTTACTAATGGTGAAAAGAAAAAAAGAAAAAGCAAATGCTGAAAAATCCTTATCCTTGTGTGCCAGCATGAGCACAGCAGCACCTTTGTGAAGCCTGCAAGAGCTGGGCACAACAATGGGCTAGGAGAAGGGTCAGACCCCAGAGCCTTTCCCACATCAGAGACCCACAGGGATCATGGGGAAATCCTACCCATTCCCCAGGTCTCAGAGCAGTGTCTGTGGTGTTCATTCTTGCCCATTTTGTGCTTTGTGTCACATCAACAGAAGGGTGCAAATGATGGAGGAGCCTTTCCCTGCTGCATCCACAGTCCAAAATTCATGCATGTGGAGCAGGGCATTCAGAGCAAGCCAGGTTTCATTGCCTTCTGCAGGTCTGTGTGTGAAGAGCCTGTACAATGTGACGAACACACTTGGCGGGCATACTGAGTAAGTTACCTCTCCTTTCATTTTCTGACTTTGGTGCTACTTGTGGTCTGTGGTGGGGCACAATTCAGTATGCTGGGAAGCAGATTTATCCTCTCCTCCCAGGGTAAAACCTGGATGAGAAGCAATTCCCCATTAAGGTCTGAGTTGTTGGGGACTTGGAGGACTGTGTTCTGCCTGGCAGTGGCTGGAGAGCAGGATAAAACAGCATTAGTGAGCCTGGAGATGTCATAGCTAGAGCACAGAGATTCCCTGGTGTTCATGGTCACTGGCAGGGTGTCTTGTGGATGCCTCATGGTGTTCTTTGTCTGCCTCTATATGGAGGAAAGAGCAATGCTCGCTAATGATGTTCTAAAATTCAACCTCAAGGCTCTAAGCAGCTTGACCTAACTTTGGTATTACCTCTCCAGTGATCTTTTTTTTTTTCATCTAAATTAATCTGTGTTTCTGTTGAATAGAAATGGAACCCTTTACATGGTCTTTGGAGGGGACCTGTTCATGGACACCAGTGGTCAGGAGCTGGGAGACAGAACAACATGGTCAGGAGCTCAAAACCCTCCTTTTGTAGACACCTTTAGGAGGCCTCCTGAACTGTCCCTGATCCTCAGGCCATGGTCTAAGGCTTGAGAGCCTTCAGGAAGAGCTAATAAGAACCTTGTTTCTTTTGCAGGAGGCACGTTGGTGCTTGCCGAAGACGCTTTGTGTGGAGAAAGCCTTTTCTTAAAAGGTTTGTGAGCTGTCTCATTTGCTTGGCGAATTACTGTGAGATGATGAGTCAGTGTTTGAGTGGCTACTGTTTGGTGGAAACAGTTGGGGTTTATGGGCAGATATGCAGAAAGGGAAACAGAGCTGACTCTTGCACAGTTGCATCTTGGCACCATAACAAGTGAGTCAAAAGACCAGCAGGAAGATGCAATGCAGATGTGTGTGCAGAATGTCCTCCAAAGGGCAAGCAAAGAGAAAGAGATGTGCAACTGAAATGGTTGTGTGCAGTCAGGCTTTGTCATGAGTGTTGTAAGAGTTTGTTGTGGGTGTTATGAGTTTTGTCATGAAGTGAATGAATAAATGAAATTGGAAACCTAAATGAAATTCTCCCCTTCTCACCTCTTGTAAATAAACAATGAAACAACAAGTAGGCATTCCCTGAACCTGTACAGAGAGAGGAATGACTGAGAAGGGAGAGGAACTGGGAGGTGGGGCAGAACTGGAGGGGAAATGAGATTTTTGCTGTCACTGCTGCCTGAAAGATGACATAGAAACAGTGGTAGATTTTAAAAATGTGGGGCAGTTCTGGGAAGTACTTCAGGATAGCTTGGTAGATTTCCAAAGCTCTTCATTATTCAGCCTGCTTCAGCTGTACCAGTCCTGTGTCTGATACTGCTTTGACAGCTCTACTTGTCCATAAACTGCTGTCTGTCTGTATCTCTCATTAGGTTTAAATCTCACTGGGAGCCTTTCCTGACCAGCAAATCCATATACTCACTCCTGGACAGGCCTTTTAAACAGGAGCTTGAAAAAGTTCTGTGGCTCCACAAACTTCCTTTTGGGCTGCACAGATCAGGTATTGAAATACTCTGTCCTTGGTGTTGCATCACTGTGTGGACTCAGTGGAGCTGGAGAGCCTCTTACACATGGAGCAGCCTGCAGTGCTGCAGGGGAGATGGAAATACAGCTGAGAAACACACCAAGGGAAATCTGGACTGACTGGATGGGGTTGCATTTAAGAAATAGTGGTCTTAGAGAAATGGGGACAGTGCTTTAACTCCTGGCTGTAGCTGTGCCAGGAGAGATGGAAAGGGGAAGGCTGACAAATGTTATTGTGGATGGAGCAGGAGGCATTGCAGAAGTTATCAAATGCTAATAGAGAGAAGATATTGGGTGAGTTGGTACCTGTTGGCTTTTCCCATGCAAGGTACTACATACTAGCTTCAGTAGCACTGAAAAGTGCATGCCTTTCATGTGGAAAAAATGCCTAGTTTGGACAGTGTTGGGTAAGTGAAGGTTGCAAGAGTGGTGTTTGAACAGGCTGTCCCATGTAAATTGTCCTGGGATTGTATATAGGGATGAAACCTGTCTCTTTAGAGCAGAAGAAAGAGGAGGTTAGTCTATTGGTAGTCGGGGCGGGGGGTCACAATTTTTCCCTGAAGATGATTCTTCAACTTTTTGTCTTCTAGTTCTCTCTGCTTTTAGCACATTGCAGCTTCTTCCAGAGCAGGATTTGCCTGGATCCTTTGGCCGGTATGAAGTCTGGGCTGGAGATTGAAGCTGGGGGACACGTTTGTCAGGGAAGTGATAGCTACATTGAGAGTCATGGTCTCTGCAGCTATTGGAAGTTCTCTCTCTTGGTGTTTAACTTCACAGTCTTTCTGCCTCTTATTCCTGCCACTCTTCATCTCCTCTCTCAGTAGGTTTCTCTTTCTGTCCCTTTTAAATGTACCCTTTCAAGCAGCTCTCATACTGATGAACTTAAGCTGCTAGCTCATAGCTCCCTCCCTTTAACTTCTGTCATACCCTGAGTTCTTTTCTCTGTGTTGCCCTGTCCCACCTATTTTCTCTTGCTAACTCCATTCCAAGCATGACAGGCTGGGAGTTGGGTGAATCCCTCAGGTGCACCTGCCCACATTCAGGGGGAGCAGGAACTGAAGTGTTCTGTCTGCAGCAGATGCTTACAAGCACTTTTATTTAGACCCTTTTTGTGACCTTCCTCTCCCTGATACACTCCGTGCCTCCAGCAGAGGTCTGCCCATATAATTACTGCTCTGCTGGGTATCCACACTTGACTTTCTATTTCCTCAGTGCTTTGTTCACTCCAGCCAACTAGGGGTCCCACCTCTAGCATGTTGATGATATCTCATTGCCTTTGTGAATGTGTAAGCACATTCCACTGTACTTTCCAAGACAAACACCATCTGGCTAGGAAGAATCCAGAGTCGTACTAGTCAAGGCTTCTCTCCTCTAGTTTGACTCTCAGGGGATGCTGAACTAACCTGGTGGAGAAATTTGTCAGAGAACTTTATCTCTTGCTGTCTATTATTTTGCCAGTTTATGGTGCCAAAGGTGCATTGTGGTTGGCAATGGCTACTCTGTCCATGGGCAGCACTTTGGGAAAATGATTGACTCTCATCATGTTATCATAAGGTACTAAATCATTACTAAAATATTAATGATTAATCAGAGACTGAAGAATGATAATGTGTATGTGATGTTCTTGTTTGGAAAATATAGCATCTAAGATCTAGCTACCCAGGTAATCACATAACTTTCTTGCAGTTTGTAGTCAGGCACAGGCATTGCAGAAGCTACAAACTGTACTCCTCATTCACAAATGTTGTACCTGGGACTGGATAGCTATCCCCAGTTCAGTGGAGTGGCAGGGAATCTTTGCACTGCAACCTCACATTCAGCTTTGCTCTGACTTAAGCAAATCATTTTGTGTGCTTTATGTCCCTCTCTGAAAAATAGTGGTTGCCTGCCACTATCATCTGCCTTTTTATTGCAAAGGAGGAACTACTGGGATATCTCATGAGGTGGTCCATACTGTGGAACTAGGCTGTGAGTGGACTCCTCATGTGAGTTCACGTAGTCAGTCTTGCATCTGACAGCAACTCTCTACAGTTGGGAACAGGTAATACTGAAATGATACAGATCCAGCCCTTCTGGCTTTGATTCTCAGATTAAATGATGCTCCAGTAAAAGAGTACAAGAAGGATGTGGGAGAAAGAACCAGCATTCGTCTCTTCTTCCCTGAATCAGCTCTGCCCAACCCTCTGGAAAACAGTGACAACAATACACTGATGGTGTTTGTCCCATTCAAGCCTTTGGATTTTTTATGGCTGAGGGAAGTATTGCTGAAAACAAAGAACAAGGTGAGGTGTCTTTAATGATGGATGGTTGAAACCAGGTTATTTGTAGTCACATACTCAATAGCTCTCATAATCATGTCTTTCAAATATTTAATGAGCCACACAAGGCACTCACACAAGGCACACCTGAGACCTTATTTGTCACCAATTAGACCCAGTCACACCTAGATTGCAGATGGGTGCATGAGAACGAGTGGAAAAGACCAGGAGATGCTTTATTCCTCCAAACTCTCAGTCCTTCTGAGCATCCAGCCAGGGCAACAGGCCACAATTAACTCAGGCTTCTTTATCCTGGCAGGGTTTGGTGATAATGGACACGTTTTCAGTACCTCTCTGCCTTTCTCCTACAGACAAAGGAGGGATTTTGGCGCCAGCCTCCCCAGGAGTGGAACTGGAACATCTCTCAGCTACGTATTCTCAATCCATATGTCACCTATGAGGCAACATTCAAGCTGCTGCAGCTGAATGCATCAAGTAGGGTATGAGATTGTGCTGGAGAGCAAACAGATGACTATCAGTGTTTGTTGTCTTGCCTAATATCTCAGTGCTTCAGTGCCACATAAGGGGAAGGAAAACATATTCGTTAGATCAGCCGGTCCATTTCCCTAGTAAATGTGTATCCATCTTTTACTTCAGGATGGTGTTATGGGTTTTGAGCCCTGTTTCTTCAAAGAAAAGAACACTTTTCCTGCTTGTCACAACAGCAGTGTTACTCTAATTCCAGGCTGCCCTGTAATCCTTTGCCACTTTGAATTCAAGTAACTTTTCAGAGTTGAGTTTCTGGCCGTAATTCTAGACCTCAAAACACCTGCTTCTCTAGTGATTAGCAGCTTTGTCATAAAGCTCTTTCATACATGTTCCTGTGATTTTCCTGTCTCTAGACCATTACTGATAATTAGCTAGCATATTGAGAGGAATTTTGGTCGGCATTCCTTAAAACATTCAGGTCTTGCAGATCTCTGGCCTGAGGCTGGCTGTTATGCCCACTACTTTGGGAATGCAAATTTCCCCTTCACTGCACAATGGAGGATTACTTCATTAATGAATCTACTTTGTCTTCAGTCCCGACGATCTTTGTGATGGTGCTGTGCAATCTTTAATTAACTTTAAGCCTGCTGGGCACCACCAGGATGTTTATAATCTGCAACAAAAGCAGGAGAAGCTTGAAGGCCTGGTGTGGTGAAATAACCTTGTCCAAGGTCATGCACTAACTTGGCTGGGGCTGCAATTAGGTGCCAAGTCTCTTGACTGCTGAAGCAGTGCTGTGAAAAAAGTACATTTCCCTGCTAAACTGCTTGGAAAGTGTGAAGTGGAGAAATCCAGAGGAGGAGTGCTAAGTGCTCAGCTAAGCTTGAGGGACCGGCTCAGCCACTCACAGTTTGGTGGCTGTTCTGCACCATCACAAGATTGTTAAGGCAAGGTCTCAGCTGGTACATGGCCATGTTAGTTTTATGTGAGCAGAGGGAAGTTTTGTGACACATAGGCCAGTGACAGGAATTTAATGCATGGATGAGAAGTGAGGTTTCACACGAAGGCCCCCAGCAGGGAACACACACAAAGTGGCACACAGAAATGAAAGAGATGTGGGGACTTAGTGCAGGCTTAATTATAGATGTGGTCTTCTTAAAAAGCGTGCTTCCATCCAAAAGCTTTTTCATTTCCATGGAGCTCTACGTTTTGTAACCTCAGAGGCTGTACACTCCTGAGTCCCCATCTTCTGCAGCATCTCCTCGTATGATGCTCCTTGTTTGAGTTCTGGGAGTGCTATCCAGGCACCTGTTCTGTTTTATTTATGTATTTTTTTCCTGCGTGGAGTGTGAAGGAAGCTACTGGTCCCAGCTGCAAAGGTGTTGCTGATGTCAGTTTTGTAAAAGTATGAGTTTGAAATGCTAAACAGATGTTCTCTCTTTTCCCTTCCCAGAGATATGCCACCACGGGAATCATTGCTTTGAACTTAGCCCTCCATCTGTGCCAAGAGGTCAACATTGCAGGCTTTGGTTACCCTGGCAACCATGACACTACTACACCAATACATTATTACAATACTGGTCTCTCACGGAAAAATGAGGTAGAAAATGCTTTCTCTTCAATCTAAGGTGTTCTCCATAGGGGAACCCACTGGAAAAAGCTGGGCTAAAGGAGCTGTGAGCTTTGTTAGTTATCACCAATGTTATGGAAATTAGAATCGTAGAATCCTTAGAGTTGGAAGGGATCTTCATCTAGACCAACTCCTCTGTAAGTGCTGGGGTACGTTTTCTTCCCAAAACTGCTTGAAAACAGATGCTGGCTCCCTCATGGTGCCTTTCATCTGTCCTAGTTTGCTGACTAGTGTCCTGTGCAGTGGGGCTGCAAGTTGGGTCAGGCAGGATCAGTGCATTTCAGGGAGAATGAGAGGCATTGTAAGGATTAACCTGTAACTTTGGCTCTCTCATCCCTGCAGCTCTTTCAGCATAATCTCACAGCTGAGAGGAACTGGCTTCTGAAAATGATTGAGTGGGGAGTGATTGCTGACTTAACCAGCCATACCTTCCAGACCCAGAACGACTGAGAGGAGGCCATGCTGGTTGCTATCCCCATCCAGACACCTCAGTTGGGCTTTGCCCTTGTTCCATTCTTGTTCCAGGTTGTTTTGAGCATGTCATAGTACATTCTTTCCCAGGTAGGATGGGAGGTTAAACCCTGAGATTCAGAGCACTTTCTTCATCCTTCATTTGCCTCTAGCTTCCACCACTGCCTGCAATAGTGGAGGATGAGGAGTGTTGCACAACACTTCTTCCTTGGGTAATCTCCTCCTGCTTTGTGATCAGCCATCCTGTACTCACTGAGCTGTTTGTGAAAAGCACAAGACTTAGATGCCAAGCTGGTCTGCAGGCCCTGAGAAACTCAGGAGCGAAGGTGCAGTGCTTACCCTGAGATTTCAGATTCCTTCATGCACAAAGTGGAGAATAAAGTTACACCCATCGCTTTGGAAAAGGACTAGGTTGAAAACAGAGAGTTTTAGTGTCTCACTAATTGTTGGGAAATGTTAATGTCTGCAGTAAACACCAAAAAAATTGTTTCTTTTATTGTTCTGTTAGAGAATAAATGCACTTCTGTTTTCAAGGAGTTGGCACTGTCTTGTGGGAGGGGGATTCCTCATAGGGACAGGTAAGTTACCTTAGTTACCTTAAAATCCCCCCTGAGATGTTACGGGTTTGTGGACCCATGTAGCCCCCTTTATCTTCCTCCCAGCACACTGCTCAGAGCTTTGCGTGCCTCCTGCTGATCATTCAGAGAATAGAGCCACCCTGCCAGGTCTGCTTTGTGTGCTGAAGATCTTCCACATGTAAGAAACCTCATTAAAAGCTGCACCTATCTGCAGCTGGCTCGTATCCACATCCTACCTCTGTGGCCACATCTTCTCATTACAGCTTTCTTCCAGGACGATGCTACACCATATCGTCCTTTCTTTACTGCTTTCTTCCTGACCTTTTATCATCAGGGATTCACCTCAGGTGGTGACTCCCCAGAATGTTACTTGGAGAAACAGCCTACAGCGTGAAGTTGAGCTGATGGTGATACTGGTATAACCCCTTTGTTGCAGCCATTTCAGCCAGGTCCACATTGAAAGGCAGCTTCTCCTGCACAGCTTTTAAGAATAAGCTCTAAGGGCGGAATTGGCTTAATTTGTATCAGGCTGCATGTGTCTTATGCTGAGTTTTCAGCATTACTACACTACCCATATAACTGCTGACACTTCCTACATCAGGCAAAGCTTCTGTTTTCCCTCCCACTTCCTTCCTTCCCCTCTCTGCTGTGGTCAGGCTTTCAGGGTACTTTCCATGCCATTCAATTCCTGGGTAACTTCCAGTGTCTCAGCCCTCTTTCCTGAAGGCTTTCTCTAACACCTTCTCATGATCTCATGAAGAGTTGATTCCCTTCATGTTGCTCTGGCTGCTTTTTCCTTTTGCTCAGACCGGTTCCTCCTCTAAAGCTGAAATGGTTTTGCCCTGGACCTGCATGCAATTATGGCCAAAGAAATGCTGACAAATATCTCCCAGAGCTGCCTTGCCTTGTGGAAGAACCGAGGCCTCACTGCAGCTCAGTGTGAGAAAAGGCACTTGAAGGCTAAAAGGGGATGAGCTAATCTTGCACATGCAAACAGAACGGAACTGAGCTTGGGAGAAAAAAAAAGCTGTTTCAATAAGTTTCTCTTTACTGTCTAAACATTGGCTTCGGGTTATGTTCTGAAAACAAATAAATCTTTACTCTCTACCTAGCACACAATAACCACACAGATTCTGCTGGGTTCCAAAAATATGATGTTCCTGAATGTTTACAGATATGCATTTGGCTCTGGCTCAAACTGTTCCAGAAGTTACTGCTCTGTATGCAGTGGCAGTGGGCTCTCAACTATATGGAAAATTGCCACTCTGTGTTCTTCTCTTGGTAAAAGGGCGTAGAAGTTTGAGTGTCTAAAAGCTGGCGTATAAAGCGTGCTACCAGCCAACCCCAGGAGATGGCTACGTTTTCTCTCTAGGTAACACACACAAGAACCTCACAGTGCTTCGTAGGAGCTGCGTTTGCACTTTATGCTGCAGTCATTGCAACATTTTCCTGTTGTGTAGTGACAAGTCATGGGAGCAAAACCATAAACACCAGGCTCAGGAGTCTTAGCGCTCGTCACAGTCATCAAAGCTGAGAGCTGCAGTCCTCCATGCCTGGTAGTCTATATAGATCCCTGCCCTACAGCTTGCTTGTTATTATCAAGAGAACTGAGGGAAAGGAGGTGGAATAAGTAGGATAAATCAGAGCCATGGTAATACAGAACATATGTGAATGAGGCTACCAGGTACCATAAGGATGTAATGGAGGGGGAAAGAAAAGGAAAATGAGTCCTATTATTACTCAAGTAGCAAAAGCTAGCATCCTTCTCAGGGCTGCAGGAGGGCACCTGCACTCCCTCCCAGCACAGTGCATTCATGCCAGGCATTGCAAACAGCCCTGTATGGACAGTGACAGCGAGTCCCCAGCTCTGCAGTCGAGGGGTGACCACAGCAGAAGGGCTGGGAGCTGCTGGGCTTTGAGGTGCCTGCCTGCCCGTCCTTAAGGAGCAGGGGAGCTCCCAGCCTCTGTCATGGCTGCCTGGCAGCACTTGGCAGGTGAGTCTGCATGCCTCCACCATCTGTGTGAAATCCTTCCAACCATTTCAACTGAACATTGACTTATGTAAAATGTAGGGCTCCTAAATGACCTGACATAGTCCATATGGAGTACCTGCCACAGATAGTGACTGCCTTGACACTGATTAATCACTTCCTTTAGTCGTATATTTGTCCCTGGTTACCTGACACAGTTCTTCCCTAATAGCTTTTGAATAGATCTGGGGTATTCATATGACCTTGGCTTTGGGGAATAGCCCATCTGATGACACACATTACCTACTTCAATGTAGGCTCAGCTGCTTTCAATCAAACTAAGTTGGACAGTAGTTTTTGGTTTTGTATCTTTCCTCTTTGTACACCCAGACCTGTCCTCTTCCCAGTAGTAAAGACCTTAGCTCTACTGGATCATGCTTTGTTTTGGGTGGCCCCATTTGCAGTTGGCTTGGTCTGTGCCATACAGCACATGCAGACCATCTTTGATCCCACCTTCACGTCCTTACCTGACACCTACAGGCACGCAGTCTGCACCACTGATGCCCCTTGCTTTGATCCCAGCAGTTAAATCACCTGTAACTGGAATCAATCATTGCTCAGATGGAGAGAGGCCAATTTTTCTAAACCCCCAAACTAAAAGCAGATTTTCTCTCAGTGTGAACGTAGTTCTTCAGAGGCACAAGATGCAGAAGCAAAGGTAAGAGGTCTTTCAGGCTGAACTTCCATCGCACCCATTCCACGTGGGAAAGCATCCCAAGCTGCAGGCACCCAAGCTGTGAGGACCCTTTCAGTAACACCCCTCCTCAGCCCCTTCTCCAGCCTTGGCACAGGGCACAGCTCCGTGCTGCCTTTACCCATGGCTGCCCAGGGCTGGCTGCAGGAGGCACTGACTCACCGTTTCCAGGAAGCAAGATATTCTCAGCAAGAGGATCTTATAGAGCCATTTTTGGATTTCTTTTTTATTTTTCATCGTGATTTAGATAAATTGTTGTTGATTTGTTTTCTTTTCCAAGCAAATAGCCAGTGAAATTCAACATTTTGGATTTGAGATGTTTCCTTTTGCTTTTTCTATCCATTCAGCCAGCCTTCCGTTGCAGGCAGATGACTCAGTTGCTGTGCATAAGGAGGGACCATGCCTCAGCTGAACCTCAGTGACTCAGTAACTGTCTAACAGTGTGCAATGTGTTTTGCTGGTTGTGGCCATCTTGTGCTGGGTAATATCTTCCCTCAGATGACAGAGATTGCACGTATGCCGTGTGCTGCTGCGTTACAGATATTATAATAATCAGGGGAACAGAGTTTACCCTGGCAAGTGTTTTTAGAAACACTGGATTTTCCGTTAACACCTCCTTCCTAAGAGATCTTTGATGATCCTACCAGAAAATTGCCAGTGCAGTGAGTCGTGTTTTATTTTAGATGTTATTCTTGTCACTTTAAAGGATTCAAAATAATACTTTTGTTTCTTGTGAGCTGAAAGAGGAAATTACAGAGGCATTATGCTTTCTACAGTCATTGCACGTTGTATGCAAGCTGAAGAATGTGAAGTTAACTGGCACTGACTTTCTAAACTGGTGGCTGGGTTTGATTTGCTAGCTGGTGCGTTTCCTGCTTGTGCCCATTCCTTGCAATTTCTGTACAGTTTGCTCTTGAACCATTGATGGTATGCATTGTGAAACTGTCCCCTGTGACAGGAGTGGCTCATTTCTTGCATGTCCTTCACATCCTGCTTTCCACTTGACCCCTAAGCGTGGCTGCTGGATGGATTTTGTGATGCTCCCAAACTCTCCAACGTCTTCAGTGAGTCTCCATTGAAATGTTAATGTCTGGAGCATACTTCAGGCTCATCTCGGCTTTAGATAAAAATTAAAAGTGGATTGCTTCATTCTGCATATTGAATACTAAAAGACACACTCATTTGTCCTCCCTGCAGACTCATGATGCCCTGCCAATTTCCTTAATCCAGGCACAGAAGCAGTCAGCGATTGTTTCCATTCACTTTTGATTCCATCTGCAAAAGGAAATACCTGCAATCACAAGAGGCTTTTCAGAACAGGGATTTTGTTGAACTTGCCCAATTTCAACAAACTTTTTGTCTGCTGGCTTAACGGGCTCTATCTGGCTGCATATCAGGGTGTCCCATTTAGCTCCCATTGTGCTGCCTGTGTTTTTTATCACAGGGATCATCAGTTATTTTAGGATTTCCTCATCCCTCAGTGGCGCTCTGCTGACCTTGCCAAAGATGTCCCATGTCCATCCCCTCTCCTTGAGATGTTATCTTTATAAGTGTATTGCTGCTCACCTGGTGTAGCAGCTTATGTTATTTACTATCAACTTTCACAGTTTCACGATTAGCCACTCCCTATTCTATCTACTTCTAGACTCATATCCTGCCCTCATTTCCCATTCTTGCCTGTGTCAGTAATATCCACCAACCCTACAGCTACATCCTCAGTAACAACACTCAGTTATCTACAGAAACACACGAGTAGATACAATAAAGCACTACCATTTATCAAGGTAAATGAAGGCAAGGAGCTTTGTTAGAAAGCTCACAGCTGAATTAAATTAATACTACAAACGTCTCCTCCAGAAACAATAGCTGTGTCTGTGCTTTGAGTTAAGGATGGCACTGAGACAGCGCTCAACAAACTCAATTTTGTAGCAAGGCTTTGAATACAGAGCCCAGCCAGCCATGGGCATCCCGGTCCTGGGGCAGTGCTGTGTCCTTGTTATGGCTGTGAAATCTGGTCTTCTGGAAACAGGGCTCAGAGTTTCACAAAAAGTTTGCCTTTTTTCACTAATGTAGCCTGATTAATCTGAGGCAATCAAGAGACATCACACTGGTACAACACAGTGCATTTCATTATTTCCTTTTGTCCTTTTTTTTTTTTTTTTTTTTTTTTTTTTTTTAATGCACAGCACTGCTAGAAGAGCAATTCAGTGCAAGCATGTCTAGAAACTGGGCAGCAACCGCTTTCACTTCCCTTCCTGCCCTGTGCAGCCCGCAGTGACGTGCAGTGATGAAGCATGCAGTGCTTGGGGGAGGGATCCTCTGCTCCACATCCCTGACTGCCACCCATGGTGCTTTCTCCCAGAGATGCCCAGCAGAGTGGCTCCCATTGCACAGACGCTCAGGGTGCTGCTGCGGCTGCTGCTCGTGCTGTCCCTGCTGTCAGGATGCATCCCCAGTCCCTGCCTGGAGGTATGTGATCTCTGAACCAGCACAAAATCCTTTCGCTTCTCCCGTGTAACTTTCTCTTCTGCTTGACGTTTGCGCATCAAAACTGTCGTGTGTTGGTTTCCCCAGGAAAGCTCTTCTTTCTTCCAAGGCTGTTACCAAGGCAATTGAAATATTCGAAGTAAACACTGGTCTCAGAAGCACCTGAGAACCAGAACAAGCAGCTTTAACCGTTCCTTATTGTTAGCTTATATTGCCATAAGGACGGTGAGGTACTGGCACAGGTTGCACAGAGAGGTTGTGCTGCCCTATCCCTGCAGACAGTCAAGGTCGGGCTGTTGGGGCTCTGAGCACTGTTGGAACTGTGGGTCTCCCTGTTCATTGCAGGGAGTGGGACCAGATGGCCTTTAAGTGTCCCTTCCAACTCAAACTATTCTATGGTTCTATTCCCTTCAGGAAGAGATCCAAGCCCTGCCTAAAACATCTGCAAATCATGCCATTTTTGCCTGATTCACACTGTACACTGACTTCACCACTACCCCAAACCCCAAACAGGCACCAATCAGTTACAAACTTTACTTACGACTTTCAGAAATTTCTGTTCTCTCTGCCGGCTTGTCTGCAGTGTCACCCAGCTGAGAGTTGGTCCTGGGCACAGCACACATCCCTGTGTGCTTGTTTTGCTCTCTCAGAGGTTGCTGCTGGGTCACCTTTAGCCCAAGGGAACACCGTCCTGTTCAATCAACAATAAATGCAGCTCTCACTGGGGAGTAGGATTGATCCTATTAGAAACAGGACAGGTGCTCAGATGTATGAGCTTATTTCCTGAAGCTCAGGGCAGCTCATTTAGAAATGAGCTACAAGGTTCTGCTTTCCAGTATAGCTGTATGATTTCTGACATTTGGTGCTGACTGAGATCTGCCACAGGTCATCCCCAGCAAAGCTTTCAGATGCACAGGACAGAACATCTCTGGAGTTCCTGCTGAAATCCCAAACACCACGCTAGACTTGGACCTCAGTTTCAACAATCTGAAATCGCTGAGCTCAAATTATTTTTCGTCAGTACCTGAATTACAGCTTCTGGATCTTTCAAGGTAATTAGCCTTTTTATCTGGTTATTGGTTTGTCTTCACCATCTCGGTCTCAGCAGTTCCTTATTTTGGAGTCTCGTGGCTCTTGCCTGTTTCCTGTTTCGCTCTTGCCTCCATCCCTCTGTCTCTCTGCCCTCTCATGCCCTGGCAATGATGCACAGCTTTCAGTCCAGATACTGAATGCCCATAGCTGAGCCTGTCAGTCTGATCTTGTAGAATGGGATGTGAGATGGAGGAAAGAAGATGTTCCACTTCCCTCTAAACGAGAAAAATGTCAGACTTTTCGCTGTTACAAAAACTCCGAAGTGGAACACGTTGGGTGGACTGTTTTTCTAATCACAAGTAAAATAAAAAATAAAAATGAAGGTGCATTAATTTTTTAAAAGATTGCTTTAAAATATCAACGTATCCTCTTTTCCTTTCTACTCACACGTCTGGGGGAGGAGGTGGGGGAGGCCTATGAACAGATTTGAACTGATATACAGTTTTCATTTGCTTGAGACAACAGTTCCTCTGGGTAAATTGTTTCACTCCATCCCATGAAAATTACAGCTCTGAAGTGACTGAGTGGCAGAGCACGTTGGCTATAATGCTCATGAGTTCATTGCAGAATGGATTTGGGCCTCGAATTTCAGGTCTTCTTCTGTCTGCATGAGTTCTGGCCTTTGCCATGGCTCTAGGTCTCTTGCTTTGCAATTGAGTTTCAGATTTAGGGAGGGAGGAAGGGGTGAGAGAAGGTCTCTTGCTATTACATAATAATTTTTGTTTTATTAATGGTGCCCCTTACTGGGAAATGTGAGTTCACCTGTAGTTTGAGGGGCTGGGTTCAGGGGTACTGGTCAGTGCTGTAAAGCCAAACCAAACCTCAGAGTGATGCTGAGCCTGATAACATTGCATTCGTAGTGCGGTAGTGTTAGTGAACGTGGGGCAAAAGGGGCAGTATTTCATCCACATTTATCCTCTTTTCCTGCTCAACAGGTGCCACATCCATACAATTGAAGATAACACTTTTGTGGATCTTCATAACCTTTCCACCTTAATTTTAACTGCCAATTCCCTCCAGCACCTGGGTCTTGCAGCCTTCTATGGCTTGACATCGCTGAAAAAACTAGTGTTGGTGGAAACCAGCATATCCTCTCTGCCTGACCTACCCATCGGACACTTGAATACCCTGCAGGAGCTGAATCTGGCCCATAACAACATTGCTTCACTGAAGCTTCCTAAGTATTTTGCCAACCTGACCTCTCTCAGGCACCTGAGCTTTTCCTCCAATAATATTACATATATCTCCAAAGGGGACCTTGATGCCCTGAGGGAAACAAACAGGCTCAACCTCACGTTGGTACTTTCTCTGAACAATATAAAATACATCCAGTCAGGATCCTTTGCGAAGATTCACCTTGGTGAACTGGTTCTGAGATCCTCTTTTGAGAACCTCAATGTGATGCACTCTTCTCTTCAGGGCCTGGCTGGTTTACAGGTCAACAGACTAATAGTTGGAGAATTCACTGACATTCTGAAAATGAAAGCATTTCAGAATGGACTCTTGAGCGGACTGTGTCAGGTACAGATGCAGGAGTTTGTCTTAATGTGTTTCAGAGAGTTTAAGAATGACACAGACACTCTTTTTGACTGCATAGGCAATGTCTCCACTATTAGGTTGGTAGACCTTAATCTTGAAACCTTGTCAGAGGTTCCTGTGTTTTCTCAAGTGAAACATCTGGAATGGAAGAAATGTAAGTTTCAGGAATTGCCTGCTGAGAAGCTCTCTCTTTTTAAGGAGTTGAGAGTGCTTCGTATTACCAAAAGCAAAGACCTAAACATCTTCGAGCAAAAATTTGGGAGTCTAACTTACCTGGAGGTCGTAGATTTGAGTGAGAATCGTCTCTCCTTCCTTACTTGCTGTTCCCCTAAATTTCCCAGCTCTCCCAATTTGAAACACTTGAACCTAAGCTTCAATTCTGACATCAGTTTGACTGGAGATTTTGCTAATCTGAGAAATCTGCTATACTTGGACCTTCAGCACACAAAGTTAATTCATCATGGCACCTACCCTGTCTTTCTACTCCTTCAGAAACTCATTTACCTTGATATCTCCCACACCAAAACTCATGTTATATCCCATCATATCTTTCATGGCTTGAACTCTTTGCAAGTGCTCAAGATGGCAGGCAACTCCTTTGAGAACAATACATTGGCCAACCACTTTGAAAACGTGAGACGCCTCCGCATCCTGGATATTTCAAGTTGCAAATTAGTATGGGTGGACCAGAGTACATTTAGTGCTCTCTCTGAACTAAAAGAGCTAATCATCAGCAACAACAAGCTACTGACTTTTGATCCTGTAGCATACAGGCCGCTCCAAGCCCTCACAGCTCTGGATTTCAGCAACAACCAGCTGAGTTTCCTGTCGGACTCAGCCCTGGAAATCCTGCCTGACAGTCTGATCTTGCTGGATATTTCTCGTAACTTGTTTGAATGCTCCTGCATACACTTGAACTTCCTGAAATGGGTCAAGGAAAAGCAGGATCTTCTGCACAACAAGCATTCAATGATATGCCACACACCTGCCTACGTGAAGAATGTGAGCCTGTTAAACTTTGATATGTCCTCTTGCCATCCCAACCCAACCACAGTAGCGTGCTCAGTGACTGTGTTGCTTGCTGCAGGAGTATTTCTGTTCCTCATTTACAAGTACTACTTCCAACTATACTACTCATTGGTGCTGCTCAGTGGGTGTAAACACTCTGCAGAAAGGGGAGATACCTATGATGCCTTTGTTATCCATTCCAGCAAAGACCAAGAATGGGTGATGAAAGAGCTGGTGGAACCCTTAGAAGAAGGAAAACCTCCCTTCCAGCTTTGTCTTTACTACAGGGATTTTTTACCAGGGGTACCCATTGTCACTAATATAATCCAAGAAGGTTTTCTGAGTAGCAGAAATGTCATTGCAGTCATCTCAGCTGACTTTCTGGAAAGCAAGTGGTGTAGCTTTGAGTTTAACATTGCTCAGTCCTGGCAGCTTGTTGAAGGGAAGAGTGGAATCATCATGATCATACTAGGGGAAGTGGATAAGACCTTGCTGAGGCAGAGGCTGGGACTGTCCCGATATCTGAGGAGGAACACTTATCTGGAGTGGAAAGACAAGGAAATAAGCAAGCATATCTTCTGGAGGCAGCTGACGTCAGTCCTGCTAGAAGGCAAAACATGGAATCACGAGGAGATAAAACTCATGTAAAGAGAAAGAAACATCACTTCTGTCCTGTCTCCCACCCTGGCCTTGGTTGATGCTTGATGCAGAAGCTGGATCTTCTGTGGCTGTTCAGCATTGGACAAAGTGAAGAGAGGCAGTATAAAACCACTACAGAAGCACCTACTTTCATGATTGCCTTTCCTCCAGGCAGCTATCAAGATAAGGAGTGGCAACAGCTCGAAAAACTGCAGATGCCTGAGCTCTGTGGTTGTCTGTAGCAGTCAGCTGAAGCTGGTCCAGCAATCCACGCAGGGGTCAGTGAGCAGATTTGAGAATGGATGGGCTGTTCTTACCTCTGAAACTCGGGATGGGCCCAGGGGCCGTTTGCTTAGGGGGATTTCAGTCTGCCACTTTGAGTGGACCCTGGGGTTTCCAGGGGAGAGTGAAGGTACAGAACTATTGCTTCTAAACTCTAAACATGATAGGAAAAGAAACAAGATTTAGGTCTTTAGGTCTGGGTTAGCAAAACTAAAAGTACCACATCACTACCATGACTAAAAGGAGGGAAAGTTTAATGCCATTGAATCATAGCGCAGAGCAATTTATTGATGTGTTGGATATTGAATACTGTTGGAGTATTGCTCTCTATTTACAGAAGGCTTTGGTTGGGATTAATCACTGAATTAGTCTAGTCTTAAACTTGCAAATCCCTCTGTAATCAATGCCGTTCTACAGAGGTAAAACAGAAGCAATTGAGGGGTGAATCAGACTTGATATTTTCTCAGAAGAAAGGGCCTGATCCATCTCACTTTTCTAAGCACCAGATAGCAACATCTCTGTGCGAGCCAGCAATAGGTGAGATTGACTTCAGACATTATTTGCAAAAGAGGGAAAGCTAATTTCAGGACTTGTGCTGGAAAAAGCTGCACCACAGTCCCCTCTCCGTGTTCTTCAGTAGTGCATTGGGATAACACTAACAAAAGCCTCACAGCCCTCTCTAAGGTCTGTGACCCACGAGACAAAGCTTTAATAAAACCAAGCTGGATGCTGCATTTGCTTGCCTGGACAGTTTGTTTTGCACCTGTTGAGCATTGCTGCAGTCGGTTCCAAAGTGCAGTGCTCCTCACCTCTGCCTTGACCAATATGCCCTGAGCTCTGCACCTCATAGCACCACTAGGCCCTCACCCAGGGTAGGGGATGGGGTGGGCTATGGGAAGTAGAGCTGGGACACAGGCCCAGCTCTAGGTTCCTTGCATCAAGAGTTATGGAGGAAAAGCAAATATTAGCTTGGGTATCATCAGGTACATCAGAAAAAGAATGAGGTAAAATGAAATGGGGTGAGAGTTACTGCTCCTGAGTTGAGCACTTCTCCATCCTTCTTTGTGTCTCTTCTGCAAGCAGTTCAGTGCATACATATTTCTACACATTTTTACAGCATCCTATGATTCTTGATTGTAATTGTAATAATGGGCTTCAGAAACCCTGCAAGTGGTTCTGAGCATCACAATAAGGGTTTAGGCCAGTATTGTTTAAAAAGGAGTGGTTTGTTGAATATCAAAACAACTTTAGGAGGAGAGCAGGGGTGATGCAGAGAGGAGGCTCCCACCTGTACAAAGTAAGCAGAAGACAGTCATGTGGCATCCTTGTCCTCTTCAAACACGCTTGGGGTCTCCACAGCAGAGGCAGATACGTGAATTGCCCTGGGCTTTCTTGCTGCCCAAGAGAAAGAACAAAAGCCAACACAGCTTCAGGAAAGGGTGAGAGGGGAGAGATTGCAAGGTAGAGACTGGAGCAGAGACCCTTGTTCAGAAAAGAAGGGAAACAGATGAGGCTTATGGTCTGTCAACACCGTACCTGTTTCCCTTGATATTTCCCTTGGCCTCATTAATAGTCAGTGCTTAGAAGACACAACTGATTTATTTTATTGCCAAATCTTCAGCATCAGAAGCAGGATATACTTTCCTGCAAGGCATGATGCTCAACAGAACAGCATGGCAGAAGACAAGAACAGCCCATGTTGGGGTGCAGTGCCAAGCTGCTGTGTGCTGTAGGCGTCCACCTGTGCACCACAGGCTCTGCTTGGTGAAATGCTCCCAGCTGTCCTCTCTTCCCAACCCGACCTGCCACCAAAAAGTACTTTGTGGTTTATGAGCAGAGGAGAGAAAGGCTGAGAACAGTTGTATTTTCTCTATTTACCTGGCAGGGAAAGAACAGATTTGGCTTTCCTAGAATCATTAAGCTTGGAAATGACCTCTGAGATCCCCAAGTCCAACCTCAGCACACCCCACCATGTCCATTGACCACATCCACTACTCCCTGGGCAGCCTGTGCCAATGCGTCACCACTCTTCTGAGAAGTGTTTCCTAATACCCAACCTGAACCTCCCCTGGCACAACTTAAGGCCATCACCTCTTGTTCCACCACTGTTACCTGGAAAAAAAGGCCAACCCCTCCTTTCCCAGAACAATTTTCTTTCCCCAATAAAATAAAGGCAAATCCTTCTCTCAAACCAAAACAGTACTGGGTCAAAGGGAAAATACTGTGGCTCACACTCACGTACATTTGCCCTTGTTATTGGAAGCAAATCTCCAAAGGAAAACTGGGCATTCTCATGTCTTCAGATGTACTGATGTAGTGGAAATGCTGTCATAGCTTGAAGCAGTGACTGAGCACCTGGGAAGGCAGGACCAACCCAAGGGAGCTCAGGTGCACAACCAGAAGGGTTGGAGCCAGGATCCACCTCTTCCCAGACCTCATTTAAGTGCTGGCAGTGGAGGCAATAGTATTCTGCTGGAGGTCCCTGTATACCTAAGGCCTTCCCAAGGTTAGTGTCTTTTTCCCTTTATTTCTGTGCCCATGGCTGTTGCTTTAGAGCAAGTCCTTGCTTGCTGCAGTCTAGCACCTTGCTGCTCTGCTGCCATTGCTGTGCTTTCCATTGTGTTACAGTTCACATGAGTTTTTGTTGCTCAGTGTACAGCAGGTAGCTTTGCTATTATTATTTACTCATGTGGGTGAATATGTGAACAGATCTGTATTCATCTCTCATGTAAGGAGCCAAGCATGTTCCAATTATTAAAGCAAATGTGGCCTAGGTCATAAAAACAGATGGAGATGAAGCTCCAAATGGCAGCTGCAGCCAAGATAATTTTATCTAATCTGTAACAGGGATGCGCTCTGTTTTCACTATGTGCTTAATCTGACACATGCCAAGCACCAGAATAGACGTAGCTCTGGTTTTACTTGCATTGCAGAGATCAGTGTCTCTGAGGAAGGCCACCATGGCATGCCAGCATCACCACGAAGACGTAGTTTGCAACGAGGGCTCTGAACAGAGCAAGCCCTCGTTAACACAGCTGTGTTTGTGGTCTCTACGCTGCAGCACAGGCCTTCTGTAAGAAGGGAAAAGGGCCACTGGTGTTTCTGCTGCCTGGATCTGGGTGGCTGTGGGAGCAGCGCTGCGTGAGGACTCCCTCAGCCCCCCCAGATATTAGCACAGGATTCTGATGTCAGAAGTAACGATACGACGAGGAAAAGCAGCTGCTCTCTCTGAGCTGAACAGTATTTGACAGGAACGGGTTGAAACTTTTCAAGAGGAGTGTTTGCCTTTTGGGAGATGCTATTTTGTAGGTGGCTTATGTAATTGAATGAGGTAGGGCAGAGAATCTACAGAACTGAAATAGCCATAGTGGGGTTTCTGGCTCCATATTGGATGGGGGTGTCATCTTGGAGCAGATACTTCCTACGGAAACAACAGTTTTAAATGTGTTCTGGAGAGCATGGTAAAAAATGTTGACGTTGCTCCACAACATCACTCTTTCAGTCTCAGGCTGATGTTTTTCACCAGAGCTTTTCATTCTGAGATTTCTTTCAGGTAATATAACCTGTCCAGCCTTTCATAACAAAAGCAAGAAATACAAATGCTTCCGCCTACCCAAATTAAAGAGCATCTATTTGCTTTTGTAGAAAGACTTGTGATTTTTATTTATTTATTTTTTTTCCTGTTTTGTGCCATGCTGCGAACTTTTAACCAAATGGAAATCCCATTTCCATGACAGGGCTCACCCCAACTCTTTGAATGTTAAACCATCACCTGGCTGTACCGTATGTGTGTGTGTGGGGGGGAGGGAGGCTGTGAAAAAGCACTGACAGATCCACAGAATGAATTTCACTCAGTGCCTTTTGCAAAATAACTCAAGTAAGTGATGTCAATACACGCTCACTGCCTGAGCCTGGGAAGGATGGAGCAGGGTGGCAGGAAAGCAATTCCTTCTCCAGTTGTCTGAGCTCGTGTTGGGAATTGTGACAAATGACAGCTAATCATGGTTTGAAAAAGAGCCCATCTACCTCTGGTACTGACCCTCAGCTCCAAGGTTGCATAGAGGGTGAAGCCACAATGTTATCAGCCAGCCTTGGCCTCCCCATGCAGAGACAGAAACATTGCAGTAATCAGGGATGTCTCTTAAAAGCTGTGAAAATCATGGAAAAGGAATTGAAAGGATAGGAAAGGGAATGGTGCAGCATCCCAAGGAATGTGGATGTAGCTCAGTGCTGGAGGTGGTTTGGTCCCAGGGCTTCCAGTCCTGACGAGGCAGGTGGGGAACATGTTTTAGCAGCATGCTGGACTCGATGATCTCCAGAGCTCCCTTCCAACACCTGTGATTCTGTATATAAAGGCAGAGGTTTTGTGATGAGTCTGTTTTAAGTGCTTTCTTCATGAGTAATAGCAGAAGGAAAATGGTTTGAGATCAGTATCTCTGAGAAGATGGGTTTAAATCAAGGTTGGAAAAGTCATCCTGAGCCATCCTGCATGAAAATGGGGTTGGACTGTTCCTCCCCTTGTCTGCCCTGTACAGGTGGTTCCCAGGGGGGCCAGCATGCACCTCCTGCACTAATCCTGCTCCCACCAGCTGGAGGAGAAGGACTCATTCACCATACATTTTAAAGTAGCTGGAACTCTGGCCTTGAAGTCTGTAATATATGTACCTTTCTGTTCATTAGGGGAACTTTAAACCTGTTCTGCAGTGCTCTCCACGCCTTCAGTCTGCAAAAGATTTGAATTTAGTTGAAGATTTTAGCAGTTACCATCACTGCATGTGATTTCAGACAAGCATGACCTGCTCCTTTAACCAGTTTTCTTGCACTTAACCTTTATTTTTTGCAAATGAGACGTGAACCTGAAAGTGTCTGCACATACCAGCTGCCCAAATTGCATCTGCAGACACCTCCAGATTTAGCAATGATATTAATATGGCAAAAGAGATCTAATTGCAGCCGATGCTCCTGGAGAGCAGAGCCAAGATAGACTTTTGTCCAGATCTACTCTCCAACCTTTATCCTTTCTTGTCCCTTTCTCTCATCCTTTTCCTCTCCTCTTTGTGACCGACACATCCCAAAACACGTGGAAGAAGGAAGGCTGGAAAAAGGGTGTCCTTTTCTAGCATCTTTTAAACAGTCTTTAAATCCTTTGGAG